GTGGCATGTTATCGGAGACCTTCAGACAAGATAGACGAAATGTTGCGTGTTATCTAAGACCTTCAGACAAGACAGACGAAATGTGGCGTGTTATCGGATAGCTTCAGATAAGATAGATGAAATGTGGCATGTTATCTGAGACCTTCAGACAAGACAGACGAAATGTGTCATGTTATCGGAGACCTTCAGATGAGATAGACGAAATGTGGCATGTTATTGGAGACCTTCAGACAAGATAGACGAAATGTGGCGTGTTATCGGAGACCTTCAGATAAGACAGACGAAATGTTGCTTGTTATCGGAGACCTTCAGACAAGATAGACGAAATGTGGCATGTTATCGGAGACCTTGAGATAAGATAGACGAAATGTTGCGTGTTATCTGAGACCTTCAGACAAGATAGACGAAATGTGTCATGTTATCGGAGACGTTCAGAGAAGATAGACGAAATGTGGCATGTTATCGGAGACCTTCAGATAAGATAGACGAAATGTGGCGTGTTATCGGAGACTTTCAGATAAGATAGACGAAATGTTGCGTGTTATCGGAGACGTTCAGACAAGATAGACGAAATGTGTGTGGCGTGTTATCGGAGACTTTCAGACAAGATAGACGAAAGGTGGCGTGTTATCGGAGACCTTCAGACAAGATAGACGAAATGTGGCGTGTTATCGGAGACGAAAAGTGGCGTGTGGCAAGCAACCCTATCAATGTATAAACCCAGAAACTTACGTGACTTTCATTCCATTACTCGTGTATCCCATAAACCTTACCGAGCTTTATTACATATCGACCAGTAAATTACGATGGTAATTCAAATATATATTTTTAAAATCATAAGAAAAAAATGGAGTTTTGCAGAAAGTGCACGTTTGCTGAAGTCATTTGGGCGGAGTGTCGCCATCCCATTATAATTAATTACTTTATATATTAGGAGGTATATTTAAAGTTACCATTGACAACTACCAACATGACGGGAAAGTGTACACGTTTACATGTACTGTTATGTGTTGATTCTCCAGTTTAACAAACACAGCTGCAATCAGTCTGTAAAGGAAACAAGCAGCAAAGCAATGTCATATAATTAACAATTGTATTCTAAAACTGTAAAACGAAGTGTACAAATTAATACAAAAATACAAATAGAGTGTGAATGCAAATTCAAAGGCGGTATACTACAAAAGTAGTGAGTGTAGCATTAAAGATAGAGATGACAATATTAACACCACTCTGATAATTTTTTCAAGATTAAGTTTTAGCTTTTTCAAGGATAATTAAGATCAATCAATATTTATTTAAACAGATTGAAACTTGACAAAGGTAACTTTATAGACGGGGATAGATTACAGAATATTTCTATTACTCAGTTGCTTTCTTGTAAAAGAGGTTCGAAAAAGTATTATTATGTAATGGCACAGACTGATGAAAATTTAAGGATAACAGAAAAATGGGAAGAAGAAATACTAGTAAGACAGAACTGGTCAAATATATTTATCAAAGCATTCAAAACTACATCTGATCCAAAGTTAAGATGGATGCAATACAGGCTACTACACAGAATTATACCAGTCAATACATATCTAGTTAACTTGAATCTTGTTAATAGCAATCTATGTACATTTTGTAAATCCGAACCGGAATCAAAACTCCATCTGTTTTGGGGATGTAGAAAAAGTGATTTTTTTGGGGAAAGAACTTTCTCAGTGGATTAAGTTGAAATGTTCACATGTCATCTAGTATCATTTGGTATTTCAGAATCCTTCCACAGTGATGTAATTTTTCTAGCTAAACTTCATATCTATAAATGTAAACTTACAAATCGAATACCACATTTACCCGTATTTCAAAAAGAATTTAAATATTACCGTAAGATTGATTTTTTTTTTTAGATTTAATACCAAAGCAAAGTTTCAAGAATACCATAACAAACGGAAAAAAATATGAAAATCCTTTTCAAGAGTAAATATCGACAATGTAAATTAGTTTATTTCTGCTTAATTCATCTATGGTATGAATGTGTGAGTGAATGTTGTATTTATGTGCAAAAAACCAAAACCAAAACAAATACCTGTTTATATACAGTGTACATGCCTTTTTACAAAAGAAACACCATGTATTCCTACATGTTCTTTTTAATCTAATACTGTTGATGCTTACCAACAAGTTATGTTTACAAATGATAATATACACATAACAACTATTTAAACCACTCGTCAAGTGTGATGGTGAGAGGTAAACATTAACTGCTCTTATGTGCCTTAAACAATTCCTGTCTTTTGCATCATGTTTTCTGTGTCACTGGACAGGCCCAATGGACAGAGATTGTAGTACCTTCTGCAACTCTGCGAAATATATCACTGACCCTCAATGTAAACCACCTACATAATGCCTTACACTGAGAACATTGTTACACAACGAACACCACAGCCACATAACAATGCCGAAACATTAGTTGTCACGGGTAATTGCAGACAAAATGAGAATTGCATAAAGTTTTCATCCAGTTATGAACAAACAGATAATAACATTTAATACACATTCCATAACACAACGCACCACAACACAACACAACGCAACGCAACATACAGTGAGTGGGATTCCAACTTAACAGTCTCTGCTGACAAAGCACAATTCTGACTTCTATATCACATTTATACTTTCATCTTGTGGTGATACCAGGCGTTCAAGACAAGTCATTTGTTCATCTGAGACAACAGAGGAACATCTGTCCAGCAGGTTAATGCATGGGACATGTCTGCCATGCCATCTTTCAAAAGCGTTTAAAGGCTTTGAATAATGTCACCTTGATGAAACAACTTGTGACGTTTCTAAAAATCTTCATATAGCATGCTCGAGTGCACTTTGGTAGCATTTAGAAATGTTTTCGAATTTATCTCGATGTTTCTACTTACATTTTCGTAATTGCGACCACTTGATCGCTACTTTAAGGTAATTTCCAAAACTGTGAATATTAACTGTTTTCTCATACCTTTGATTATTCAAGCTATTTTAAGTAGATTTTCAGGTTTTCATCGTAACTTCGTTGTTTTGTAATTTCAATCTTCTCTCTCGTCATTTCAAGTTTCTTTTCCAATGTCGGAAGTTGGAATAGCTTCTTCCTACTTGCATCGCCATGTTAGAAATTTAAATGATTATCTGGAAATTTGTTCAAAACTTGAAGTGAAAATAATTGATTACAGAACGTCAGTGCGAATGAATACCCAGTCTTGGCTCATTTTAGAAACAAACTCCGTTTGGTGTTAAGGGGAAAATAGCTTTGAACATTATTGGAATGGATCAATGAAAATCAGTGACGAGAAAATGCTCAACGCGTCACGTTTATGAAACAAACATTAAATAAGGAGAAAATAGTTGAAATAACGGGCAAATACTAGTAAATTGAGTTAAGAGAAACACCACAGGGCTTGAAGGGAAAGTTATGGAAGCAACACGAAAAATCGATTTTTTTTGCTTTGGGATGAAGCAATAACGAAACAATCATATGAAACAGGAAAATGCAATTGTAGTAATAGTGTGCACGCAGTAGATACGGAGTAACTGAAATAAAGGGAAAATTCCGTTTAAAACATAGCTTGTGGCGCGATTAGCTGCGTGGTGCTGTTATCATTATTGCGAGAATTGTGTGAAAAAGAAAGTAATGAATGAAAAGTTGATCATAGAGCGCAAAGAATATTCAGTTTTGAAACACATTCCGTTTGTTGTAAGAGACAAAATAGCGGTGAAATCCTTACATAATAATAATTATAACCACAAAATTAAGAGAAATGTAGGTTTAAAACAACCTGCTGCCAAAGTGGCACGATTAGCACCATGGTGGGCATGTGCTACCATTATGGCCAGATTAGGAACAAGTGTTCCGCTGTTGCTATCACACACTATCACAGAGAAGTTCAGCACCAGCAGCAGCAGCCGAGTGATTGGTACCCGCCTATCTGGTCATCTGGTGGTAAACGTGTTACAATATCAATTCCTACTAAGTAAATAACACTTCAGTATCGAGATAAAGTCGTTAAATCAATATTCAGCACTCAAGTCCATCTCTCCTGGCTGTTTCATGTCACGATGGTCGAGATACCCAATATGTCCTCCAATCAAATGTCATTCTTCGTCAGATGTTATCTTTTTGTTTTAAATTGGTTTTCCTGTTTCTTTTCACGAGTTTCTGATGAACATATGTATAAATATGAGCGGTCTATACATACTATCTGCAGAAACTCTTTTCGTCGTCAGTTGTGGTGAGTAACATCTTTTTGTGATATTGTTGTTTATAGGTAATCAGCAGAATCCTGTACTTGTACACAGCAAACCTAGCCACTGGGTTGTTTCTTCTACTGTATCAGGCAACAAAAAACAAACTTCTTTCTTACAGACATCCGTGAGTGGCGGGAGTTCCCGGTAGGGCAGGACACGTTACGTGTTAGAGAACACCAAGTGTCCCCGCTAATGATCAGTGACCCACCCGTAACATCCCATCACTAAATGTCACTCTTGAAAAGGGTCTCTTTCGACGAAACCCTAGACTAGTATTTCATTGGGGTTGACTTCTGTTCTTTATACGAAGTGTACATCGCGCCATCCGTAAACATAACACTCTCTAAACAGATTGTAGTATAATACATTGTGTAACCTAGAAATGTTAGCTATATATGTGAGAGGTGGTTATTGTTATTTGAGACATTTTAGAATACCATAGAGCTTATATTTTTAACGTCATTTGAACTGCTTCCTTTATCCATATAGTCGTTCCATTTATAAATGAAAACAAGAGAATAGATTAATGATGCCTCACATACCCATAAATGTTTATTTCACTTCATTATGTCAAGGTATTATTGTCTTATTGACTTGTGATGAACAATATGCCGTGGTCTGCTTTTTAAGGCAGATACAAAACAAAACATATTGTCAGTAGTTTGTTCCACTGGTGATTGCACTTGTAATATGCAAAATGATCTTTATGTCAAGCAGATAATATCAGCTGATCAGGATGCGTCTGTTCCTTGTCCTACTGCTTGTGGCTGTGGTGCTGATGTCGGAATCGGACGCCTGGAGAAGATTCAGGATCAGGGTCCGCGGCAGGAGAATACTTCGAGCCGCTGGACGGGCGTACAGGATTTACAGGAGATACAAACACATCATCAACCCAGCCGTCGGTAAGGACTGGAATATGTTCCATAAAAACGCCTTAGACTTATTACCTTTCAGTATATCAATATTTGTTGAGGACATCCATTCAGTTACGTGAAGGGTGTCTGTGGTGATGATTTGGGCGACACTTATTTCTGCTATGTGTATAATCAAGGCACACCAGAAGACAACGGTACTCGTCTTCGTTAAGAATGTATCACAGTTTTGACATGTTAATATATTTTGGTATACATTAGTTTTGCTATATGCATTTTCTGCCCTTGAGTTGAGTACCGTGCGGGATCTACAAAAAGGACAACTGGACATCTAGATCACGTACATTGTGGATCCTTCTGAAAAGTGTTGAACGCTATTAATACACTATACCATTTAGTAAGTGATGACCTTTTAATACGAAAAGAGTCGACATTATGTAATTCTCCTACATTTTCAATGTGAGCATCATCAATTGTTTTGAACGGCAACATAGTGAAGATTGTACAATAAGAAACCGATAAACTGATGGAACCACAGCAAGGACGCATTAAAAATATGTCATGAGTATGGCGAAATGAGGTAGCACGTCCCAGTAAAGATAACTGTCAGCAGTGGTAGGCACTATTTGAAAATGTCAAATTCAACTTTATATGTTTATGATGCTTTGAGACTAAGAAATGTGTTACCTTATGAAGATGTGCAAAATGTCAGGTTTCCACAAAACAAATCAAATACTGTTCTTGGGTGTTTGAGTGATCGCATGAGCTATGAGTATGCTTCTCTGAAATCTCTTTCAGTTAGAGAAGCGTTTTGTCATGTATATGGGATTCAACTCTGAATTATGAATTACTGCTTTTGGAAGTACTGCTTCACCCGTTTTGATAGAGTATTGGAATAATCAAGGAAAGAGAATCATGTCACTGTCATTTAAACAAACTGAACCATTAATTGTCTTTTGGGGAAAATGTCAATTTATTTGTTCAATGCCATTACTTTGTGACATTGTATACTGCAAGAGGATTACTTTAAGACATTTATGTTCTTTGGTTGCAGGAGCCGTACTTGGAAAGCGAAGTATTGACGACCTTGATAAGAACAAGGATGGCAATATTGACCAATCTGAAGCCGAGGAACTGATGGAAAGACGGGCAGCCGAGGATCTACTTTCATTGGCTGATGAAAACGGTAAAGTAAACTCACCGTTCACCTAACCACTATGTATACTGTCCCTACAACTCGCACATTAATCACGGGTTATTCTATTGTGAACATGTAAATATTTCCCAAGTAATGGCCACAATTTGACTGATGATTTCAACAATTCCAGATGATTCAAACGTGAGTTTGGAGGAGTTCTCGAGGAGCATCCATGACTTCATGACCATAGATTCAGGTAATAGGACATGACAAGTACACTTGTACTGGTTTTGTATTAAACGAACATTTCAGATATTGGTGTAGGTTTTTGTACATACCGTGTACATAACGCTGATGTAAACAGTGTTCTAGTTATATTACAGTGAAGACAGACCGAGATCATAATCAGGAAGAATCCCTAACCAGTCTTATAGACCTCGCGACTGTAAGCTTTGATGTGAAGTATGACTGAACTATAGTTGTCCATGTGTATATTAATGAGTATCTGTTATTTTCTTACAGACCCAGATTTGCGAAATGTACTCGAGAAGGAGTTTGCTGATGCTTTCGACTCAGAATAATGATCCCAATCAACAAGTTTATTGAAAATGTCAATAAATCATCCGTTTGTAGATGCTTTCAAGGATGACTCAGAGTGATGCTCCTAATCTACAACTGTATTAAAATCTTTCAATAAATCATCTCAGTAAACGAGAATTGTTTCATGTCTGTCGTTTATGTATAAACTCTGTTGATAATTACAGTTGCGTCCCTTAGTCGTGTTAGTATCCGCTGATGGATGAACCCTGTTAAAAAGGTAGTTACAGTTATTGCCATGATGCATCTTAATCAGAGTACACGACGCGGCTGTCAACGTCACAGTAACATCAAACGTCTATACACGTGTACCGAGAGCATAGTAACGAAATCAGAATAACTGGCTGATGAAGAAATAGGAATGGCGATATGGTCACGTGATGTGGTCATCAAGAACCAGAGGGAGGCCACACTCTTCGACTTGGTCGACTGTCAGTTTACCTGAAGTCATGGCGATGCATAATATAGAAATGATCCCTGAAAGTATCATTTTCAATTGCACTCAGTCGGGTTCCCCAAGCATTTGATAGGCCAGAACGCAAAATGGCTTGTAAGACCTGCCTTTCTGCCACTGGAACCATTCTAATTTACACTTGTCACAGGGGTTTCACAGTTTCGGTGTTGTTTTTCCATGGCCATGGCAACAGATTTGACATGGACACGAGCGACCCCAAATTAGTAGGCATTCTTTCATGATGCAACTTTGCACCCGAAAGAACAGGGTTTACCAATTTGCTCTTATTGTCCTTGGAAGACCATGTTATAGTGATGATATACGTGCATCTTTTGGAAAAAATTGGATCTATCTTTGTGTGGCTCTGTCTCTTTGTCTATCTTGTTTAATAATGGTGTAAGAATCCACAATCTGCAATAAAAAATAGTTGCTAACGCCGTATGCTGTATCATCATGTCAAGTATATGTACATGAGAAGTATATGTGGATAGTATGATGTGAAGACCATCAGATTAACAGAAACAGCAAAGTAACTGAATAATACAATTGGATGAGGCCAGGTGGGGAGGGATTAAGCAGAAAACCAATAAAAACAAACTCCCAGGTGGTAATAGATAATGGCTATGGCTTGATTAGCTCGTTGTTGTGGATTCTTCTGTGGATTTCGATGGATTCCAAAATTTCTTCACCAACCTCAAGCAGCATTCCACTTAGTCGTTAAGAGGACCATGTCGACCACACTCCAGGCAAAACCCAAACTGACGAAGCATTAATCATAACAAAAATAAAAGCAATTTAAGGCAAAGAAAGACTGGCACAATATTATATGTGGCGGCCATTTTGAAATCCAAGATGGCCGCCAATGGGATGATTGAAAGTTTCAACCAAAGATGTCTTGTCCTAATGTTGCTACATGCTTTGGGTGGTCCGTTGAATCAACAGTTTGGGTGCCGTAAGACAAATGAGGTCTTCGAAGAGGAACACTTTTTATGGATAGACAACTTCTTTGTTGCAGTAGTAGTTGCGACGTTTCGGTGTAGATCCTAACACCGTTATCAAGCAAATGATACACAACATTTGCACAAGGAGAAATATATACGGTGTATGGCGGGTATTGGGTTTATGCAATAGAAGAGGTTGATGTACGGTGTGTTGATATGAGACTTGTTGTGATAAGAAATGATTGAAGCCAGTAGACAAAGGGTGGGTTATTCCTGATTAGGCTTGATTAGTTGATCGTAAGCCGTGGGGGATGTAATAAGCTTGATCTCTGTTGATTGCCGGGTTGAGTCGTTTGATGTTGATTGCCTCTAAGAGTTTTCTTATCTTATAATCTGACGGTTGGCTTCTAGGATGCTGATGTTGTTCCAAAGTATGGTATGGTTCGGGTGGGCTTGGGTGTTCAACTTCATCATACCAGCTTCTAAATGCCACTTCAGGAAGGAAGAAAATGAGGTCTTCGTTGATAGTTTTGTTCTACACGTGTAACCAGCCACCTGCACCTCGATTGTTGCATACCCACTACACAAACAATGAATATATATCACCTGCTACGAATGACATGAGTAACTACAAACATCATGTCTCAGTTGAATACCATTTTCGTCTTTACTGGAGGATATTTCTATATCAGTTAATTTGTGAATATCTCAAAAGGGTTCCAGTTAATAGAAAATTATATTCTGAGATTTAGATGGGAGCATTCCCATGTAACAGCAGCATAAGAAACAGGTGACAGCCAGCTCATGTCAGTTCATTCGTTAGAACAATCATCTGTGAGTCTGCAAACTGCAATTACATGGTGTAGATTAATTTAATATTGACCAGACACAATGCCTTAATTTAACATCTGGGTACAGACTCTCGAAACGGTTATCAAAATGTGGAGCGCCGTCAGATCTTGAAATGGCTCAAGGTACACCCGCCTCAAACTACTTAATGGCTGTGGATGCATTCAGTGGAGGAACATTCCTGATAGAGCTCACATATAAATAACAGTGAGTGAGTTAAAATTTAACGTCACATCGGCAATATTGCAGGCATATCTTAATTTAAAACTAGTACGCTATCATAAAAATATATCACGAGAGACAACAGTACAATATAAGATCGGGCTATAGATCACCATATAAATAACAAGTTAAGTGACATGTAATATTTGTAAGACTGATTTATTGAAACCATTTTGTAAACATTTTGATCTGGGGCGTGATTCATGATCTTCGACTCTCTTTGTGGGCCATCATAGTTGGCACATTTTGGATGTTTCTGGGAGTCAGTATCGTCATGGTGGTATCCACAACGGTGACACTCCACATAGTTATAATCCTAATATACTCAGCAGCAAAAACACGTCAATACGAATTCAAACTTAGATGGGCACTGTAATCAAATCATTACAGAAATGGACATAATAAGCGGATCAAAAACATTTTTTTGTGTACAATATCTTGACACTCAGCACAATTCAAGACATTAAGTAAACGTTTGCAGTCCATTCAGACTCTTGACTTCAGTATCTAGTGTGATCACCAGCGTCTATGCATGGAGTGCACTAATCGATTGATGAAGGCCATTGGCACTTTGAACCGCACAAATGAGCAAGAAATCGGCTGTGTTCGGCCTTGGTATGACAATATTCAGTCTCCTCTGAATTTCATCCCAAAGATGTTCAACTGGGTTTAAATCAGGACTAAGGGCTGGCCACTGCATAATGTTGACACCGTTCTGCTGCAGGAAGTCCCGTGTAGCTCTGGCAGTATGGACCCGGGCGTTATCATGCTGGAAAATGTAGTTCCGGTGACGTGCGAAATATAGTATGACGAGGGGTCTGAGAGCTTG